CCGGTTCAGACACAGGACACCCGCTCGCTCAGCCGCGGCCTGCCGCACCTGCACCATCCGGGGCAGGACCAGGGTGCCTGCCGCTCTCCTGCCTTCTGACTGCGTTATGCCAGGGGCTCCCCCGCTGGGTACTCGGCTGCCCTCACAGCCTGTGGGATGGCCCCTTGCGACCTCTGAGGGCGCAGGAATTGGAACCTGGAAGATGTCAAGCGACTTGCCCAAGGTCATGCAGACCACGCCCGATGGCTGCTCAGGAAATTGGAAACTGGCTGAACCCCCAGATTCAAGTGTTTCAGGTTGGCCTGGCCATGCAGTATCCCTGTCCAGTCCTCTTACCTAACAATCGCTGGGATCACCCTTAAGTGGGTTCAGGCCCCAGTTCACAAGTTCAGCAGCCAGGTGGGAGCAAGGCCCTGTGGATTTGTGAAGGATCCCTGAACACCTGCTGCCCTGAGGCGCTCTCACTGGGATGGGCAGTACCCCTTACCATACATCCTGGGGCGCAGCCTCAGCGGTTAGGTGCCTGGGCACTGGACAGGCACTGCCTGAGTTCAAATCGCACTGATGGGCGGTGTCATCCCGGGCAGGTGTTATGGTCCCCACCCCCCTTCATATGTTGAAGCCCTCAGCCCCAGGGTATCTGTATTTGCAGATAGCGCTGTGAGGAGGTGATCAAGATTAATTGAGGTCATAAGGGTTAGGTGCCCTTATAAGGAGAGGAAGAGACACCAGGGCCCTCTCTACCATGAGGACACATCCAGAAGGCAGCCATCCACAAGGCGGAGTGCCACAACCAGGAACGAATAGGCTGGCATTCTGATCTTGGACTTCTCAGGCTCTAAAACTGTGAGAAATAAATGGCTGTTGTTTAAGCGCCTCCGTCTACGGTATTTTGTCATGGCAGCCTGAGATGACTAATACAGCAGGTTATCTAACTTCTCTGTGTTCTCATTTCTTCCTCTAGAAAATGTGGCTAATAATAGATTCTATCACAGACATAGCTGTATTCCGTGGACACAGACGAGTGTGGAGGGGCCACGCACAGTCTCTGTACATCCCACTAAAGAATGCTGATCAGGAAGATGAGTGCTAGTGACATCATTAAGGGGTGGCTTTGAATTCTCTCCATTGGCTTGGATTTTTTTTTTTTTAAGTCAGTGATTTGGAAACTCTGAGGCTTTATTGGAATGGACTGCTGAGGACTGCTTTTCATGGAGCTCCCTTGCTCTGGCCCCTCTGCCCTCCACAAGCCCCACCTGTATGCCATTCTCCATCTTGCCATGGGGCCTGTGAACTTGCTGCGTCCTCGCCTGCAGAACACCTGGGGAACTCCTGCCCAGACTTCAGACCTCACTGCCCCCCTCCAACTGCCACCAAAAACACCCTCTCCTAGCCCCATGTCACACTTCATGGCAGTGTGACATGTGTAACCATCTTTTGTTAGCAGGATTACTTGATTAATATCTGTTTCCCTTAAGAGACTGTAAGCTCCCCGAGGGCAGGGTGCAGGCCACCACTGAACTGCCAGCACCTGTAACAGTGCCTGGCACCAGGGCCAAGACTAGGGAAAGACAAGCCAGGCACTAGGAGGCTTTCACTCTCAGGGTCACACGCTTGCAGGACTGGCACCTGAGAGCGAAGACCTCTTTCAATTTTGCACGCTGAAAACCTTGCTTGGCTGACTCTCTGCCTTGCCCAGCACACAGCATATCCTCAGTAAATATTCACCAAATGTCCCCCTTCATATCTCACTGGCCCCTCTGATATGTCCCACTCGTCCCATTGGGAATCTCAATTCTGAAAGAGACCTCAGCAGGAAAAACAGCGTGGGGGTTTGATTCCCTATGGAGCTCTCTTCCAGTGATCTCTGCCAGGCAGAGCAGGTAGTGAGAGATGCTGACAGGGTGGGCACTGAAGGGTGAAGAGGTGCACTGTGGGGTAGGATGGAATTAGACTCACGAGACTCAGAGCCTGATTCTGACGATCAGTTGAGGAGGATAAGCTGTGTGGCCATGGCACGTCACTTACACTCTCTAGGGCCTTAGTGTCTTCTTTTGCAAAATGGAAATACTGATACTTGCCAGGTGGAGGTGGTCTCCATTAGGAATAAATGAGGAGGGCACAGAGGGATGTGGGAAGAGTTTGGAGGGAGAATAGGCAATAGTAAGAGAATAAAGGATGGAGGGTAAGAGAGGGAGAGAAGAGAGGAGAGGAGGGAGAAAAGAGAAGATGGAGAGGGTAAGGGAGATTGAAAGAGAAGGACTGAGGCATCCAAACATTTTCCTGTCTTAAATCATTCCCAGCAAATCACCCCCTGTGGGCAAAGCATTACTTTGTATCTCAAAGTAGACACATCTATGGGACATTTGCTTTTATGTCCTATCTCTCACATCCCACCTTCACCACACGGAAGACTTGCAATGTTTTATAAAACAAACACATACTAAACGGTACAGTTAAGAAACAACCAGAGATAGTGTCAGAGGCCTCATGGAGAAAGAGGGGTGTTGGTTATGCCAGGAATCTGTTGTAAAAGGGTTAGTGATTGAGTTATTCATTCAACTCTGAGCCTCCTGGCAGCCAAAGCATAAAGGGAAACAAAATGAGTTACCAAGTTCTTATTATCTGACACCTATTTATTGACTATATGCACAAATAATTTCTGTCTACTCGGAACTGGCTGTCTGGAGAACCAGGATCAAGCCTCAAAGGACTGATGTGCATTCCAACTCTTAAGTGGTCCATAGACCTCCCTACTTTGAAATAGACAGATTTCTGCACTTGTGATAAAGGCCACAGGGACAGGGAGGGAGAAGATGGGATGTGGCAGGACCAAATGAACTCCCACTGGGGAGAGAGAGAGGGAGAACATGGGCTGGTATCCTTCACTGAGTCCACCTCAGCAGACACTCTAAGGCCTGGCCCAGGTAAAGCCCCCATAGCCCTTCCTGAAGATTGCTCTAGTCCTACCTGCCCAGCAAAAGGCTTGGGGGAAGGGTGGTCGGCAGGCCTCATGGAGGATTCCAAGCTGCTGGCAATGCTCCCTCTCAGCTGGCTCCTCTAAGTCTGCACATGCAGAGATTAGGCTTGTTGCAAACCCAGCAGTGAGCTGCAAACCCAGAAGGAGGGGGCAGAATGCAGCCCAGGAGCCTGCAGCTCTGTTTTCACCCTTGGCAGGGTGCCAGGATCCTGGAATGCCCAGGAGCCAGTGTAGCCAGGGGACTGGGGATCTGTGCCCACTTGGTTTCCCTAGAGGCTGGCACCATGAGAATCTAGGTTTACTCTGGTACCTACCACAGCATCTATGTTGTCCCCATTGATATCAAAAGGACATGAGGTTAGGTTTCTGGCCCAAGCCACATGCTGACCTTGACTTGGGCTAGGAATCCCAAGCCCTGGGTCTCAGTTCTGGCTGTGCCGTCAATTTTTAGGTGACCCGGATAAAATTCCTGCCTTGCCCTCAGTTTCTCTTTCCTGTAAAATAAAAGGTCCAACTCATAGTCCTTAACAGTAAACCATGTGTGAGGTGGGCAAGGGCTTGGAATTATTACAGGGAG